CTTCCTTAATCTATCCTACTGAACTGATAAGATAAGATAAGAACTGTAATTAGATAAGATAAGACTCCCTTAATCTATCCTACTGAACTGATAAGATAAGAWMACTGAATAGATAAGACTCCTACTAATCCCTGCTACTGAAAGCAGATAAGGTAAGAATACTGAATAGATAAGATAGGATGAGAACACTAAATTGCTGCTGCTGAGAACACTAAATTACTGTTGTTGCTGCACTAAATTACTGCTGCTACTGCCGCGTCCACATCAAAATGTGTGCTGCATAAAAAATCTACTTGAACTTTCATCCTTCACCGTTCTTTTGGATCAATAAGAATGCTGAAGATTTTATTGACATATAAGGCTTTCACCTTTTACACTTAATATTTAGAGACTTTTAATATATTAGACTTTTATGCTGTTTATTACTCCTATAAAAAATCATAAGTATTTTACTTTTTATATTAAAATTATTGGAAACTGATGTAATCTTAGTTATGTGCTGCAAGGGCACTTTTGTCTTTTCATGTTTTTTTTATATTGTTGCCCTAACATATAAATACAAAGACTGGTGCCGCCAGCCATACTTTTTTGGCCTCAATCTTCCTTCTCTTCTCTCTTCTTTCTTCTTCTTCTTCTCCTCTCTTCTCTACTTCACTCTTGATCGAAACCATGGTACCTTAGCAGGACAGCACGCTGTAAAAGGCATCTTATCTGATCGAAGGTCTTACCAATCACATACCTGGACTGAGAATGGGGAAAACAAGTTTGACCTTGCACTGATAATTGTTGGTGGACCCTATTCTATCCTTTTTTAAACAGAAACTGAAAAGAAAATCTCTCTCAGAGATTGGCAGATGATTGACTGAGCTTTTCTAGAGGTCAGTGGTTGCTTTTCTTCTTCTCTCCTATTCTTTTCTGGACTGTAACTTCTAAAAGTCAGTCGAACTGATCAGGAACCTAGACTGAAGTTTTTTTTCATTAGTTCTTGGTATTGTTACCGAGAACATCCTAAAATCTGCCCTAGCCAAATGGTGTAGGCTTGTTTAATAACCTCCTTTGAGTCGGTGATTCAAAACTGTGTGGGTGAAGAACCTGTGTAGGTCATGTGTGACCCGGTTCAGATGGAGAGATACATCAGCAGAATTGTAGATGTTATGTGTGGCTTAAACTAGCCCTTGTGAGGTCAGTTAGACCTGTAAATCTGTGACAGCAGGTGCTGTGTTACTGTGACTGCAATTTGATTTTGAACCTTACAGTGAGGGTTGTGTGTTTGTGAGTGTGTGGAATGCGGGAGAAGGGTTGTAGGTCTGAAACTTCTATAGCAGCCTTTGCTATGGCCTCTGAAGACTCTTCAACCTCTGGAATTTCTTTCAACCAAGGAGGAATGAACAGCAGTCTTGACTCTATGAGCTTTCCAACGACCATTACTCCCTTAGATAGCAGAAATTATTTGACATGATCTAAGGAGATGCGGCTGTACATCACAGCCCGGGGTAAGGCAAGGTATATCAATGGAAAAGTGAAGGAACCTAGGATTGGTACTGCTGAATATACTAAGTGGGACCAAGAAAACTGCATGATTATGTCTTGGCTTTTGACTACTATGCTACCATCAGTTAAGCAGAACTTTATGTGGGTTGAGACTGCCAAGGAAATATGGGAACAAGCAAGGTCAACTTACTCCGAGCAGAGACACTATGCTAGAATCTATCAATTGCAAGCCAAGTCTGCAACATGTAAACAAGGGGAAAGAAGCTTATCCACCTACTATTCTGCCCTCACATCTATCTAGAAAGAGTTAGATTACTATCAGAACATTGATTGGGAGAATGAAAAGGATGCCAAAGCCTACAAACAGTTAGTGTCACAGCAGCGGGTGTTTGCTTTTTTGTTAGGGCTTAATCCCATATATGAACCCATTCGAGTTCAAATTTTGGGCAGCAAGGATCTTCCTTCTGTCCAAGAGGTGTATGCACTGGTTCAATTCAAGGAAAGTAAAAAATCTGCCATGAATCCCCCCGAGGGGGAGACCATTGCTTTAGCCACAAGAGGTAATACCAATTCAGCAAGAAAGGGAGATGGTCAGAAAATGGTTGATGATAAAGATAAACTATGGTGCACTCATTGTCAGAAATCCCGACACACACGGGAGACATGCATGGTAAGCCAAAGCGAGCACAAGACCTAAATAAGAAATCAGCACAGGAACAGAACAAGAAACCAAATCAAAAGAGGTTCACCTCGACTAACTTGGCATCTCATGAGTCACAAAGTGGAGGAACTATTGTGAACTCTCAGGATTGCCCCCCTAGGTCTGATCTCAAGGAAGATATTATCATTGCCTTTCGTGACCATTTGAAGCAATATGGTAGGGCTCTCACACAAGCAAATTCTGGACCCACTCCTTCAACCTCTTTTGCTTCTTCCTCAAGTAACTTACCTTCTACATTCCATGTGTCAACTAATACCTCTGAATCTCCATGGATTATTGATTCTGGTGCTTCCAATCACATGACTGGTAAGTCAACCTTTTTCCAATCATACACCCTTCTTTCTGGCAAAGATAGAGTGAGCTTACCTGATGGATCCTTCTCCTCCATTGCTGATTGAGGATCTACATCTTTGCCATTTGGCTTACCTCTATCAAATGTTCTACACGTTCCAAAACTACCTATTAATTTGCTATCTATTAGTAGCATTACACACTCTTTGAACTACTCAATAACCTTTTTTCCTCAATCTTGTGTCTTTCATGATTTGGCCTCCGGGAGGACGATTGGTAAAGAGAACACGGTGAATGGTCTCTATGTGCTGGAGAAGAAAGTTGGCCATGCTCAGAGTCTTTGAGTCAGTCAAATAAGAGTCAGGTTACTTTGTGGCACAATCATTTGGGTCATTTGTCCTTTGAGTCTTTGAAGTACCTGTTTCTAGAATTGTTCAAGTCTATGTCAGTTAATGATTTTCAATGTCAAGTGTATCAGCTAAGCAAGCATTGTAGAACTTCATTTTCTTTACGTAATAAAAGATCAGATGTTTCTTTTTTTTTTTTTGATAGATAAGATCATATGTTTCTTTTTCCATTGTGTATTCTAATGTTTGGGGACCTATAAATATTCCAACAAAGAATGGATACAGATACTTCATATCTTTCATTGACAACTTCTCTCAATATACGTGGGTGTACCTTATGCACTCTCGAGACGAAGTTCCTAAACCTGTGAAAGCCTTCCAACGTATGGTATACATACAATTTGAAACAGAGATTCGAATTTTCCAATCAGACAATGCCCAAGAGTATTTTCATGGTGACCTCACAGAATTTTTTGAAACTTGTGGCTCTATTCATCGTAGCTCCTGTGCTAGAACCCTTCAACAGAATGGGGTTGCAGAGAGAAAGAATCGTCATCTTCTAGAAGTTGCTCGAGGTTGTTGATACACATGAATGTTCCCAAAAGGTTCTGGGTGGGTGCTGCTATTACTGTGGCTTATTTTATCAATCGGATGCCATCTCATCTCTTGGAGTACAAGTCCCCTTGTCAGCTCATCTTCCCTACAGCTCCATTGTTTCCTATCCCTATGCGTGTCTTTGGTTATATGTGTTTTGTCCATGATTTGTCTCCTACCCGTGGTAAGCTAGATCCCAAATCCATTATTTGTGTTTTCCTTGGCTACTCCCTTTCCCAAAAGGGTTATCATTGCTTTGACCTTATTTCCAAAAAGTACTTTGTATCCATGGATGTTTCTTTCTTTGAAGATGTGCCTTTCTTTCCTGCTTCTCCTCAGGGGGAGAGTCCAAGTGAGGAGAAACAAAGACAGGTTTTGTTGCCTTCTCCTCCTGACCCTCCTCCATTTCGGGTCTTTCATAGATAGAGTGGTACAAAAGTCAAAGTCGGGATCAACAAAGTTCAATAGACACAGAGCATCCTGAAGCTATGCAACCTATGCCATCGGACTCTCAGGGATTGAATCCATCACCGTGTCCAAGTACTATTGTTCCGATTAATGTCCCTGAACCCATTAATATTGATACTTCTAATTGTGATCTAGGTCTTCCTATTGCTTAGAGGAAAAGGTGTCAAATCACGCACCACACACCACCCAATGGCTCTTTCCTTATCCTATGAGAATGTTTCACCCTCTTTCTGTGCTCTCCTCCCTGCTATTGATAGTGTTTCCCTTCCTAAGAGTGTTGTAGAAGCTTTACTTGTTCCTAAGTGGGCAGATGCAATGGAGGAGATCAATGCCCTTCACAAAAATGGCACGTGGGAGTTGGTAGATCTTCATGAGGGAAAGGAACCTGTGGGGTGCAAATGGGTATTCTCTATGAAACATAAGGCAGATGGCATAGTGGAGAGGTACAAGGCCCGACTAGTTGCAAAAGGTTTTTCACAAGTGTATGGAGTTGATTATGTGGAAACCTTTGCACCTATAGCAAAAATGAACTCTATTCGAGTTCTTTTTTTAGCAACAAACCTAGATTGGGAGCTTCATCAGCTGGACATTAAAAATGCCATTTTGAATGGTGACTTGGAAGAAGAAGTGTATATGACCCAACCTCCAGGTTTTTGTGCTAAGGAAAATGAGTAGAAAGTCTGTAGACTAAAGAAATCTCTGTATGGCTTAAAACAGTCTCCAAGGGCCTGGTTCAGTACGTTCCACAAGGCAATTCAACAGATGGGCTTTAAACAGTGCCAGTATGATCACACATGCTTTTTGAAGAGAAAACAAGGAAGAATGACAGCTTTAATTTTGTATGTCGATGACATTATTATCACCGATGATTGAGACTTAGAGATACAAAGATTGAAGAGATTCTTGGCCACTTAGTTTTCAGTGAAGGATTTGGGGCCTTTACGTTATTTCCTTGGAATTGACGTTGCCCGCTCTAATCAGGGTATCTTCATCTCCCAGAGGAAATATGTTCTCAATCTCATGAAAGATATCGGGAAGCTTGGAGCAAAACTTGCTGACACTCCTATATAAACCACAGATTTGGGGATTGCAATGATGAGCCCATAGCAAACACAAAGCAGTATCAAAGATTGGTGGGCAGACTTCTCTACCTATCTATGACAAGACCTGACATTGCGTATGCAATGGGAGTCCTTAGTCGGTTTATGCATACTCCCAGGGCTACACACTTGGAGGCAGCATACAGAGTTCTTAGATATTTGAAGAAATTCCCTGGGACAGGATTCCTATTTGGAAAACATGGGCATATGAGAGTTGAGGTTTACACTGATGCAGATTGAGCTGGTTTTGTGGATGACAGAAAATCCACTAGTGGCTATTGTGCCTTTGTTGGGGGAAATCTTGTTACTTGGAGTAAGAAACAAAGTGTGGTGGTCAGATCGATGTAGAAGCTGAATACAGGGTCATATCTCATGGTGTGGTAGAACTTTTATGGATAAAGAATGGTGAATTGGGCTTTCCTCTCAATGACCCTATGTCACTCTATTGTGACAATAAGACTACCATCAACATTGCAGCCAATCCTGCTCTCCATTATAGAACTAAACACATAGAGGTTGACAAACACTTCATCAAGGAAAAATTGGAAAAAGGAGAAGTTTGCACTCCCTACATCAGCTCTGAGGAACAACTTGCAGACATCCTTACCAAAGGATTAAACTCCATGTGGCACTATAATCTTTGTGACAAGTTAGGGATGATTGATATCTACGCCCCAACTTGAGGGGGAGTGATGTAATCTTAGTTATGTGTCGCAAGGGCACGTTTGTCTTTTCATGTTTTTATTTTTTATATTGTCTCCTAACATATAAATACAAAGACTGGCGCCGCCAGCCATACTTTTTTGATCTCAATCTTCCTTCTCTTCTCTCTTCTTCTTCTTCTTCTTCTTCTCCTCTCTTCTCTACTTCACTCTTGATCGATATCAGAAACCATTGGATTCATAGAAGACATAAATTTCTTCACATTTAAATATCTTGAAAAACTGAAAACAAAACTTAAGTTTTCAGGAGGAAAAATTCCATTATTCAGTTACCTATCAGGAAAAAAGAAAAGAAAAAAGAAAAAGGAAAATCCATAATCACTTATACAACAGATAGTATAAGGTAGTCAGAATTGTATGCCTTATTATTGGACAACTCACTGATTTTTCAAGGATTTGAAGTTCATATATAACTAAGGAAGCCTCCTTGTATGTGCAAGGGTAAGGCTGCATACATCTGTCCCTCCCTAGACCCCGCATTGGCAGGAGCCTCATGCACTAGGCTGCCCTTATATAACTAAGGAAGCCCCTTACATCAAAATGAAACAACAGTTGGGAGACCAATTAATGGAATAATTTTACCAATTAGAAAGGATAACACAAACTAAACATGGTTAAATAGCTTTTAAGTTCCAAATAGAATAAATGCATAATATCTCAGAAAGAGCAAAATAAAATAAAGACAAAAGGTGTTGAAGATGCACCTCAATCTCTTGTGTAGTTCTGAAAGTTGAGCTTGCAATAGCCTTGATTGGTTGGTCAATTCCTACATAGAGAAATTTAGACAAAACATAACAAGTTATTGTTAATGGCATGAATGACAATTTGATTAATAAAAAGATCAAGAAGGTCGTTAATATTTGCTGATTTGTGTTGCATACCTCGACCGTTTGAGTACTGCAACAAAAAGAAAAGGAAAATATCATTTTCATTTTCTTAAAAAGGCAATGTCAGGTAAAGGAGAAGTTAAGATGGAAAAAACACCAAATTCACAAATATTAGCACATACCTTGCACCCAAAAAGTCTTGTATGTTCACTTCATGATCCAACTTCTTAAATGTTTTCTTTAATGCCTATACTCTCAAAGAAACCATGAGAATGTTGTATGAACATGCAGCATTAATGGTTCAAATCCCTACTTAATATAAAAAGGCAAGAAAATGAAGCCTGTAGTAGAAGAATATATCATGAAAGACTAGCTTACTTCGAGACTCTCCAACTTCCTGTTTCAATCCAATGAAAAACTATTACATAATAGTTACATTCATATCTAAACCTGAACTGAAGGAAGTAACAAGTTATAATTGAAAAATAAAACTGAGAGCACCTTTTTGCCCTTTCCTGTGGAGTTAATTGAGCAAACTTTGCGATAACCTCTTCAATATTACTGAAAATAATATGGGGAAGACAAGAATTATAAAAATAGGAAAATTTAATCCTAATCCTAATAATAATAAATGAGGACAAATATATGCATGCATTGCATAGAAATGAAACCAGTTAGTCATGAAAATGAAAAGAAAAGGATGATGGTGAAAATTTTCATGGCTATTTGAGAACATTACACTTAAACAGAGGTGTGTCTGTCTACGAACACAAATATCTATTACACATGGAAGAAAACAATCATGTAACCTTAAAATGTACAAAATATCACTATTAAAAATCTATTTGAATGTTAACCATGGCTTAGAAGGACTTGTCTTATGCACTGCCAATAATCAGAAATATATTGGTATTTCTTGGCACCAGAAATATATTCAGATCCAAAAGCAAAATACAAGGAGATATTTCTATCAACTAAATCAAACCTTCCGCTGTAAAGTCATTCTATGTTAGCCTAACTGCAGATATATCAATGGAATATATATATTTTACAAAGGGTTTATAAGCAAATTAAAGAAAATATTTTATATGGATAAACAATATAAACCACACTTAAGAATTAAGAAAAGCGCCCCCCCCCCCCCGAAGAACAATTTACTTGCCCTTGCCACTTCCTTCAAATCATTTATGACCTAGTGCAAATTTTCTCCTCTGTTTCTTGCTCTGAGGTAAGGACATAAGGTGAACATCTGTAATGCTGTCTAAACTTGCTTCATGTTACCTCTTTGGACACTATGACAACCATCTGGCCATTACTATTATGAATTATGCATGTCAATAGTGAGTAAACACACACCAATTTTGATCAGACATGCAGTCAGTAATGAAATGATCAGGTTTTCTCTATCACATTTGTACCCTAATCTATTTGTTGTTTAAGCCATATTAGATATTACACACTTGAATAGTAAATCTAGATAATAGCCAAATTATTGATACCATGACTAAACTTATCAGAGAAATTTTTGCACATAATAATAGGTACACTAAGAAGAAAAAGCTAAGTACCTGCGCTCTCCAAGGCATAATGTAGGCTTGCCGGATGGTGAAAACATGAGAAGGGCAATGTCTATGTCACACAATATGGATAACTCCCTAGCCTTCTTCAAGATTCCAGTCCTCCGTTTCGAATAGGTTATTTGTCGGCCACTTGTATTCTCCAATCTCTTTATCTTTAGCTTAACCCTCCCCATCTTACAGATTTTCACTCAAACCCTGTAACCACTTATCTCTTTCCAATCGACCTAAACTTTCTGATCCCCTGAAATACGAATACTAGCTACGAAACATCCCTTTCCTCATGCTTCCCCCGTTAATCCATTTTAAATTTGAATCGACAGAAATCTCTGGAAAAAAATACAATGGAAGCATCTATTCTCAACATCTTGTATTCTCAGAAAATTTTGTTTAACATCAAAATTAAAACCAGATTACAAAGTCAAAAGGGAAGAAGGCAACTCAGGGCAATTTGTCCTCAGCAAAAAAGAAAAGATCAAAAGCACTTATTGACAACACTCATATGCTGCTAGAAATGTAACCGAGATCATAAAAACAATAGAGGCGCAACTATGACAAACCAAAGTTCAAATTACAAAGCCCGGGCCCCAGATGGAAAAAATAAAAAAATACAGAGGATCAAAGAAAAACAAAACCAAACGATTCCCACTTGTAGACTCCTAACCTTCTGCAAAAACTAATCTGTGTACCAAAACGGCATAAGATCGTACGAAGAAAATAAACAACACCAAACAAACAAAACCCAGATGAGGAAATCGAAAAACGAACTAAAAAGTAAAAACTACATAGTTCCGGAGCCGATAAAACGGGACGATGTCGATAAACCCATGACCCATCAAAGAGAAGAAATTATTACAGAGGTAAAAGAAAAATGAAAAAAAAAAAAAGAAATAAAAGAGAAGCAAGAAGAGATGTATAGCTTACATTGCATGACCGGCCAAGCTGCAAAATCGGTCGTTAAACGAGCGGGAGAATCGGGAAGCGTCCGAAATTCCAAAACCAACCAACTAATTGGAAGAAAGAAAAACGCGGGAATAAGAGAAAGGGCAAGTAACTAGAAATTAATTTCAAAGAACCACGAGATTCAAACGGAAGGTGAGATCGCGCCCTTCAAAGTGCAACCTCCTGAGAGAATCATTAAACCCTGTCGACCAAGGATGCTCCTCTTTATGAGGAGCCCATCGCCCGAAACGAACCAGAAATCCGATATTTGGCCGATATGGAATGCTATAAATGTATGTATACGTAATGTAAGTAGCGGATTACTTTCTGTTTTAAATAATCAACCAAAAAACATCAATATAATTGGCCGAGTCGGGATCTACTAGACTACTGCAGTTTTACTCAATCGCCCAAAACGAACTACATCTCCGATATTTGACCGACGTGAAACGTTATGGATATATGTTTACAAGTATCGGATTACTTTTTTGAATAAAAAAAAAAAAAAAGATTACTTTCTTTTTTTTTAAATAGTCAAAAGTTGGATCAATATCGTATAGTACCAAAAGAATAGCGGTATAACTGGCGGATTCGAGATCCCCTGCAGTTTTCCCGCACTCGGCACTTCCATTCTTACACGTGCTAAATATCTCATACAGAAATCGATTTTGTCCTCCCACATGACGGTGCTCACACCGTTCATACAATGAAATATCTCATACTAGCAATGAAATCCTGTGTCCAAGCTCTCTGGAGTCGCGAAATGGAATCTTTCTCTTCTTCGGGGCTCGCTAAATGGAATCTTCGCATGCGAGCTTTTTTATATCTCTTTAAATTCGAATATTCCGACTGTGCGAGAGTACCGTAGCCGATCTCTCTCATACACATAAAAGTTATATAATAAAGAGTTGGGATCTCGGAATCTCTTACTTATCAATTCTTCCCACATCCCTACCCACTTGTCACCGTTCATGGGAGTTCACATCTGCGCCCCACAATGTCCCACAGCGCATCCCCGTCGTGTATGAGGAATATCTCCTGATGATAATATCAGATCCAATGATATCATCATCGGGAAATGTTCCCAATACAAGGCGCTGATGCGCTGTTGGACGTTGTGGGACACCCCGTGGTGGGACACAAATCTGAACTCCATTCATGGGGAGGTGTTCCAACTTTTTAACACATGGCAATTATATCTAGTGGGCAGGGATGTGGGTAGGAGATCATACATCTAGAATTCGGACCTAGGGCATAGCATGTTTTAGTCATGCATCGAGAACATTTCACCATGGGTGATAATTTACGAGTATAAAGATGTTCTAGATGTATGATAATTTATGAGTATAGAGATGTTTTTAAATGAGTTCAAATCAGCCTCCCACAAGATTGCCCCCCACAATGTCCCACAGCCGTGTTGTGTATTGGGAACATCTCTTGATGATAATACCAAGAATGATGATGTCATCATCGAGAGATGTTCTCAATTCACAACGAGAATGTGTGTGGGATGTTGTGGAGGGCAATCATGTGGGGGGCTGATTCGATCTCATTCTATATGTAAAACTTCAAGTGATGTGAGGTTGGTGTGATGAAAAGTGATTTTAATCAATAGTCCAAAATTTAGATTCATTTCAGGCAAAATTCTATGCACCGTGCAGCAAATTAAAAGATGTGGATTAATGGTATTTTTAGTATATGTCTTGTTAAATATTAAAGATCACATTGTTAATTAAATGTGAAATTTTATAAAACATGAATCAATGAAAAATAACATGTCTTTAATATGATTGATTGAAATGTTGATTCAGTTAATGATCTGATGACCCAGTCAATTGAACTGAATTAAGTCGGTTAAATTTTTTGTTTTGTATATTTTATTTATGTTATAATTAATAAAAGTAATTATTTTTATTATATTTTTTTGTTTAATATGATAAATATATGTCTTTTTCTTGAATTTTATATTTTTTAAAATTTAAAATTTTTATTATTTAATTATAACACCATGAATTAATTTAGGTAACCCAAAAATTTGAACCGTTGACCTAACACCAATGGGAAAAGGTAATTCTATTTTGGTATTTTCCAGTTTGATTTTAAAAAAACATCGGCAGCAAGTGAAGAGTCTTCTTTCTCTAGCTTCTATTGATTTTATCATTTACATGCATGAAGGTGTTTGGCACGGTAGTGTTTATACCATGGTGACGTTGCTGTAAATTATTGTCATTTGATAACAAACAGTTTAGGTGGTATTTGGTTCACTAGTAGATTTATAATTTTCCCATCAAAAAGTAACGTGTTGCATAAATTGATTATCATCTTTTATAATTAGTAAGTCTTTTTTTTTTTTTTTACTTTTACTATTTTACTTATGTTTATTTATCAAATTTGCATATTAAAAATTTAAAAAAAAAAAATCAATGCTTGCAGAAAAAAAAATGAATTTATCAAAACTGTTTTTATGAATGGAAAACTAAGTATGTTATTTTACTTTTTTTCAAGTAAATCATATATAGCTACCCTATACTTGGGGGTAGTGACACTTAGTCCTGAACTTTGTCTTTGACTCTTTGCCACTTTACTTGCATCATGATACATAACAAAACCGGTTTGAAGACATGTTCATTTTGTTGGTGGTTGTAGAATCAGCAGATTCTAGAGTTAACAAAATCTCCATTTGTTTTTTATGAATACAAAACCATGTGGTTCAAAAAGAAGGTCATGGCAAAGTGATTCTATGTATGTCGAGCCATATTCATATATACTATAAGATGCAATATATCTTATATACATATAAGAATAATTGATGAGTGAAAAATCTAGAAATGGTGGTGTTATTAGGACCTAAGTAATTCAAATAAACCTAAAGAGTAACTGGAATAAATGATAAAATTAAAACTTATATATAGACTAAGATGGTTTGGTCACATGCATAGAATACCACGAACATCACTCTTAATAAAAATTGATCTATTGCATGTTGAAAGAGCTAGAAAGGCCAAGGGTAGAGCAAAAAAAAACATGGGTAATGGGTCAAAGTAGTTATAAATGATTTCAGTGCTCATAATTTAACAATGATATGACATTAAACATAATAGAATGGCCAAAACATGATTCATGTTGTCCACCCCATATATTTGGTATGAGGGTTCGATGATCATGATGATGATATTATTTTATATACATGACAAAATATATAATTATACATGCTTTTTAATATATTATATATAATAAAATTAGACAGTCCATGTCAATACATCTCTCATTTTAGATAAGCTATTTATCTATTTTCTCAATTTTTTGCATTTTTTTCTTATTTTCTTTTGTTTTAAAAATATAAACAGTAATCATTGCTTATCCTAATTAGATTAACAAAGTTGAACACTATTAGAGAGAGACCTTTGGGTTTTCTAAGGCCTCTTATTTTAATGCATATTTTTATTACATTTAAAAAATATATTTAAGAGAGAGAGAGATGGAGAGAGAGAGAGAGAGAATAGTAATAATGTAAATAGGTTGAGGTTAAACAATCAAAAAATTATTAATTTAAAAATCCACAAAATTTTCACTAAAAATAAATATTAACAAAACTTAGTAAATAATAAAAGCGTGTTTCAATTCCACTTAAAAATCAAACTTAATAAATGCTAATAAAAATAAAAAAATTAAAATACAAATATTAATTGATAGTTTTAAAAATATTATTAGATAACTTATGAGTTGAGACCTTTATTATGCATAATGAACTCATTAAAAATGATAAAAATTAATGAAATTTTAAAATGCATAACTCATTTTATTGCAAAAATTACTAAATAATAATGAAAAACACCAAAAATTAATTAAAAATCTGAAAAACCTAACTCTTAATTAAAATACTAAAAATAATTTAAAAATTAAAATAATTGTATTTTATTGCGAAAAAATACTTAATAATAATGAAAAATAATGTATTTTAATTATTAGAAATATAATTAATAATTATTATTTTTAAATTGTAATTAACAATAATTATAATTTAAGCTATAAATAGTAAAAAATTACATTTAATTAACAAAAAAAATATATATTTAATTAGTTTTAGCCAATAACTTAGCAATATTTCTGAAAATATGATAATTTCCAAAAATTACTACATTTTAAATAAATACAGTAATTTAACAATTACAATATTAAAAATTAATAATAAAAAGTAACAATTCGTTTATAATTTAACCTAACCCGATTAAATCTATAAATTTGTAGGCTCAAGCAACTATTTTCTTTTGAGTTAGGTCTAGTTGAGATATGCACCATGCCCACACCTTATCAAGGATAATCAAATTTAAAGTCTAATTGGGTATCAAACTTTTGAAGTCTAATGATGGTTGTAGCGGATAGGGCCCAAGCTAAACAACCCCTAATAAGCTCAACTTGAAAGTTATATGCATTTATGGTAAATATTATTATAATAACAAGTTTATATTAATAATTTAATATATATATATATATAAATGTTATATATTTTTTATAGTAGATATAATTAAATAAAAATTTTAATTTGTAAAAAATCATAGGTTTATAATTAACATGGGTCTCTTTATCCCTTCCACCACTCCCATTAAGCCATGTCACTATTCCCCAATCAATTCATAAAATCTCTTCCCCCAATCTATATCCACTATCTCTCATTTAAAATACACATATTAATTATAATAAATAGTTAAATACAATTAATATTTAATCCAACACATATTTAATGAGTATCAAATAGTGTTATTACCAAAAGTTAATAAATACGATTAGAAAATTACCAAAATTTAATAAATATAGTTATTAATTAACTCATCGTGACTATTTAAAGTATTTTGGTTAAACATTATTATATTCAAGTTAATTAACAACATTTTATAGAAATTGAAAACTCTTTAACTAATTTATATACAATTGATAATTTATTTAAAATTACCAAAAAATAAAAAAATTTAGGTATTGATATTATTATAGTTAATAACCGAATGCAGATGGGGAAATAATATATTATAAAGTTGGAAAATGAAATTATTAATTAATTTATATTGAAAAGTAAAAGATAAATTAGTGTAATTTTGTTAGTAAACTACTTAATAAAAATAAATACTTAATAAAAAAATAAAATAATTTTTAATCAATCTCCATAATTATACAAATCTAATAAGTTTTTCAATTTTTTTCATAAAATAACATTTTGGAAATTAAAAGATATAATATTGTACTTTTGGAAAGTTTTTGAAATTTTATTTAAATAACTATTGAAAATATTGGAATAAATTAGAAAATTTATTACATTTGATAGATTTTAGAAAACTATTGAAAATGTATGTATTTTTCATTGTAAATTAGTGAAAATTATTAAAGATAAATGAGTATGGGAAAGGGAAAACTGTAATTTAACCAATAATTACACAAGTTATTAAGATAAATTAGTATAATATTGGAAAAAATGAAATTATTGATTAGTTTATATTAGAAAATATAAGATAAATTAGTGTAATTTTGTAAGTAAACCATTTAAAAATAAAATAAATTATTTAATAACAATTTAAAAATAAATTTGATTATTTTTTCAAAATTACACAAATGTAATAAATTTTCATAAAATTACATTTTTGAAAATTAAAGACAATTTAGTGTACTTTTAGAAATTTACCATGTGGCTAATACTCAGCATATCCTTTTGATCATTTTTGTCATCAAATTGAATATTGGGTTGACAGGGAGTGGGTGCCTTGCCTTGAACCCGCCTAACACTAGGGACGGGGTAGGGAAAACTTGATGGATTCCCCATCCTTGATGAGTAGTAGGTGCCTTGCCCTAAATTTGCTTGACATTGAGGACAAGATAGGAAAATTCGAGGATTCCCTGTCCCTAACGAGGAGTGGTGCCTTGCGCTAAACCTGCCTAACACTGGGGGCAAGCGCAAGGATGGGGTAAAGTGTCTTGACTACGGGGTGGGGATAGGGATGGGGTGCCCCACCTCGTTGCCATTCCTATATAATTGTTAATTATTAATGAAATTAATAAAAATGTTAGTTTTGTAATTATTTTTATTTATTTAAAGTCAATCAAAAGTTCATTGAAAAACAAAGAAAATAATAACATTTATTAAAATTACTACAAATGATTAATAAAAATAAAGTTACTAAAAATATTTGTTCATATTAAATTAGCAATAATTATTTTCTATATATCAACATTAAATAAAAAATACAATTATTAAAATTTTAAATATTAACAATAACTTTGAATATCTTTAGTCAATTAACAGCAAATTTTGATTATTAATTTATTGATTAATTAATAGTAAATAAAATTATTCAGTCTTCCAGATTTTCCCATGCATTTCATGGGTCCCCACTAGTGAATATATGGGAAACATCGAATTCTCCTTCTTACCCTCTCTTTTATTGAAATCACGTCTATATATATAAATCTATACTACTTATAAAAGAGCGAATAACATCACTTTCCGGAATTTTCACTGAACACACATTCTACCCCCACCTGTTTATCTATATAGAGGACATATATGTCCTTTAATCCTACTGCAATAGAAACTGAAAAAAAATGGTTGTATCTCCCACAATGTCTTCCGTGTCTCCCACAAACTCTTCCCTCCAAACATCCCTTCAACTATAAAACCAGTGATTTTATCTCCCATAAAATCTTTCTTGCAAACTATTTTATCTCCTACAAACCATTTCCTTCATTTGAATTCCCATCGTAATCAAAACCTCCAATTAATGAACATAACAAAATTTACAACTTTATACTACCTAGGAGGGTGGAATTGTGGCTAAATTTGAATATATGAAGATGACTTAGGAAGGGGTCTTATTCATAGGGTGGATTCATTGGCTTTCTTCATATGCAGAAGAATCCTCTATCTAGGGATGGCAATTTCCCCTGTAAAACCGGAGCCCTGCCCCGAACGGGGCAAGCTTTCCCTGACCCTAAACGGGGACGGGGGTGGGAATGGGGTGGGGATGGGTTTTGTATATAATTCCCCAAAGCCGAAGGTAAAATTAGTAAAATATCACTAGGTTTAATATAAGTTTTCCCCAGATTCTTAAAATCCTAGAATCTCATAATTCCATTTTGAAGTACCCCAAAGTATTATAATTCAATTCCTAAAATACCCCACAATTCATATATTATATGTGTAAATTGTCCACAAAATAAATAATTTTTAAGAAATTGCCTTAAAGCGGTGAAAATTCGGAGATTACCCGTCCCCAATGGGGAGTGGATGCCCTGCCCCGCCACAGAAGACGGGGCGGGGACGGGAAGGGGGGTGCCCCGCCTGAAACCCGCCCCGTTGCCATTCCTACCTCTATCGGTAGTTCTGAATTTTGTGACTTTTCTAATGAACAATATGTTCTTGAGGATTCATTTGTGGATCCGAAGTCTGATCAGACAACTCCATGTGATTTACCCTCATCATCACAGGGCCACCATGTAAGAGAAAGCGAGAGTTAAAGTAGCAAATATGATAAGAAGGTTAACTTGTGGGAATTGGACCCAGGGTTCAACCACATATTGGAGTGATGAAAATGATGGAGAGCATTCAGACATCATTGAACCACCAGCATCTCATGAACACTCTATTGCATCAGAAAGAAGAGAACAATTGAGATTTTCGTGTGCCAGAAATCGTCTTCGGGTGAGAGGGCGCAAAGCGATTGTTGATATGCTCATGCATCTGGAGCACGAGAGGCAAAGGGAGCTTACCAGCTACATTCAGGTGAACACATAACTATTAGGGTCCGTTTGGTTTAGTTGGAATTTAAATTCTTCAGATGGAGTGATCTATTATCATAGTCCGTTTGGTTCATGTGAATCAAATGGGCCCTCACTTCTCATTTTGACAATTGTTCTTCTTCCCCTTGCACGTTATATTGACTTCTTGCATGACAATACATGTTTAGTCATTGCTCATACTCAAATGCCTACGTGAAGTTGCGGGTCAAGGTCAAAGGCATTAAAGGCATTTAGATGCTGAACGGAACCAAATTCAGTGAAGAACTTCCATCAGGTTTCTAAGATACAATTAATGTTATTTTAACTTTTGTTTCAACAGGATGTTCTTGAAGTGTTGTCAATTTACATTTGTTTGAGTTATATTTTGTGTCTGATTTGTATCTACCCAAAGAATTTTAGAGCTAAAACTAAGATAAATCGGATAAAGACGCCATCTGACATGTAACTTCCTCTTAATAATTAAGAAAAATCAACTACCAATCATGGAAAACAACTCCAACTATGGAATGGTCCCAATTAGGGTGTCTAATTGTCAGGCCAAGTCTTAAGCTCAAAGATTAGTGGGAACATGAGCAAGGTTTATTTGGGAAATATAAAAGTTTAATGGAGTCCATGGTGACTCATCATGTGTGGTTCATGAAGTCTTCCAACCTTGAACTCTAAACAACAGCAATTTCCGGTTCAATAGATGGTTCATCCTACTCTAAAATTGTAGGAACTCCTTTAAATAGATATTCATGTTTTTCTTGCCATTGAGCTTAGTGTTATTTTTTATTGGGCCAAACACTTGCACTCACTAGATTATCTCTATTGGGAACTAAAATGGAGTAAAGGAATGTATGAATTCACCCGTTAGATTGAATATCAATGGATAAATACAAGTATTTCACTGGAAACTATAGTAACAACTCATATTGTTGAATTAGGCTGCACAAGTACTCGAAAGATGAAAAAGAAGGATCCATGGAAATTGAATCAAGTAATTACCTAGATTTACATTATTTGTTATATTTCTCATGTGTTGTATTGGGATTTGGCGTTGCAGGGGCTAGTGGAATTGTGAAAGTAATTTCAATAAAATGATAAAACAATTAAATCATATAAATATCACTATATATTTATAATATAAAATTATATATAAATAACATAACGCTTGCAACATTTGGTGAAGCATTAGATTATATGTATAGATCTTTTAACAAAATGCGGGGGAGTGTACTGAACCCTATACCCCAAATCTTAAGAGAAGTAGCTAGGAGAAAGAACGAGAGCCCCCTCCCTCTTTTATGATTTTGGGTCCATAGAAAACCGTCTCTTTCCTTTTCTCTCCCCCATTCTTTATATGTCATAGAAATATGTTAAAGTAACTAATTTAATTTAAATAATCATATTAATACTAATAAATCAATTAATTAATCCAAATTTAGTTGATCAAGCGATTTAACTAACTATTTATTTTAACTGAATTGTATAAAATAATTACTTGATGAATGAATTTTAATTGAGAGGGGGAGAGAAAGTGTACCTAAGAGAAGAGAAGATAAAAGTGTGTAGAGTACCGAGGGTTGATGCTTGGACCGAGAGAGAAAGAGAGAGATGTCTATGGTTTGAAAAGTATTCAATATGAAAAAAAAATGACAAGTTGGGAATTTATTTGTAATAAAAATCTTAAACAATATATTATAATCAACATCGCATTGGATTGATTTCTACAATTTTCTAGTATTAATTTAATTAGCAAATATAATCTAATGGCCACATCTCAGAGAGCACTCCTCACAGCCACATCCCACCATGTAATTGGAACATGTTGTGACTGCCTTGACCTCCTCCCTGTAGTAGGTTGCAATATCTGAGCACCTCATTCTCATCTTCGAATACTTGAAATGATTTATAGGAAAAGTGGATGAACAAATAGGAAAAGATGGCAATAGCAAGTTCCAAGTCTTCAGCTAATTTCTATGTGAAAGATATTTTTAATCCTCAAGTGGCCTATTTAATGGATCACATTACTTATCAATCATATATAGAATGTCTAGAGTCTCACATTACAGATTTGGCACAAAGGAAGAAACAGTTGTTGCTCAAGAAGTTCATCAGTATAGGTAGCAACGACAATATTAACTCATAGCATGAATCTCAAGATGATACCAAGATTTTTAAACATGGGAATAACCTAAACAAAGTAGGGACGCCATTGACTGGTTCATGTTGAATCCTGAATTCCGGATACATAAGTCGGTTATTTAGAAACCAAAGGAAGATTAGGAATGGAAGCAGAATGATTTCAGTTACTCTCATATGTATGGGCTTTTTACACATAATGGAATGCCTATCACATTGTGATTGATTAATGTAACAAGGAATTTCAAACTCATGATTTTGATACATGATTGGTATCTGAATACAGAAGGTTTCCTGCTACTAAAGTTTTTTTTTTTAATTGCTTAGTCTTATTTCCTATTTCAGATCTCCATTTTCCTCCTCTGGAAAAAAAAGAGCCCAAGCTCTCTTTCAACTTCACTGTAGGAAATGAAAACATCAGCTGTGAATAAGATAGGATTTGTTCAGGTAAACACAACTCACAAAACCAAATGAGACCTGCGGCTTCTTCTTGTTTTCATTGTGCATAACTGGTTTTCCCTGTGGGTCGGCACATATACGGGCTTTGAAGCTTCTCTCCATGGGTTTGCCTCCAATACTAGAAATAAAGAAAACAGGTTATAGATGTTAAAGTAGAAACAAAATAAACACAAATGTTTAAAATGTTTTCAGTTCCTTTATGGATCTGCATGCTAAGAGCCTGAGACAATACTAAAATATCACCAAAGAGGAAAAGTGAACCCATACTCTTCACCAGTGGGAGAAGTTGATAAAATCAACCATTACAAGGAGTCAAATAACATATCAAGCAAATGAATTTATTTATTGTTGGAGTTGTTAACACATGCTAAAGAACTGGATTTATTTGAGTGTTGTTTTTAAATGGTCACATATTAAAATTAAATACAGCAAAGCTCATTTGCCAAAGGAAACCAACCAAATCATTAATCGAGACAAAATCATAGAATCGGAATTGTTATAATTGGTTCGGTCAGTTTGGGTCCATTAGGTCGACCCAACCCATTGATAACCCTAATCTAGTTTCCTTTTGGCTAGTAATAATAGTTTGTTAGTAAATTATTCCAAACTAAATAAATACTTTAAAAATAAAATATAAAAGGAGTAAATAAAAATAAATAATATATGTAATTTTATTAAATAAATAAATGTTTAGACAACATTTTATTAAATTGAATAAAATAAATAAATGAATAGATAAAAGTTTATTGGATTGTTGAACTGTCTCCCATCTCATGCTTTGTGGGCATAAACAATCCTAGGATCAACATCTTAATTAAAAAAATAATTTAGTATGGTATAGTATTAGCAACATATAATAAAATTAAAAAGTGAAAGAGAAGATATCYCATATACAAATTTTAATCATTGTTTAAGTATGTATGGTATAGTGCTTTTAATTTTAAAGTGAAAGGCACAAGAAAATTAAGGTGCAGGTTTTAAAAATACATAAACCTGAATTTTAAAAGAAATTATAAGTTTTGAAAGACCTATTAGCTCTAAGCAAAAAACTTAGGCTCTATTTGTTTGTAGTGCAAATCTGAACCGAATACAAATCTTGAACCCGATTAGGTTTTGCATTTGTTTATTTGTAACTATGATTTGTTACACCTACTGGTACAAAATTTGTACTTTCTCATTTGCACTCACTGCAATGTTTTTTTTTTTGATAATTCTCACTGGAAGTGAAAATTTTGCATCTCAATTCCAAATATTGATATAAAATTTGCACCATCATCGTCATACCTCTATTCTCTCCATATAAAGTGGGGATCAAATCATCTTGCTTCCTACAACACCCAAACAAAAAATTCTCATCCCATCTCCATTATCTTTCATATAAAGCAGGGACCACTTCATTTTAATTCCTATTTATTCTCACAAACAAATAATAAAAAATAAAATCTAAAGCAAAAAAGTAAACCAGAATTTACACTTAGCCTATTTGCACACCAGTGCAAATGAAATTTGCACTACAAACAAACTGAGCCTTAACCACAAAATATAAAACAAATTCAAATTCAGAGTGAAAGCAAACAGATGCAAAATATCAAAGTGCTTCAAGCACTTGATAATCAAGTAGTGTGAAACTCTCAATGTATTTGTATCTCCTACTTGCATCACCTGAAGTAACTAGTGTGATGTTAAATGTCTTGCATTTTCATTTGCACTATGCCATATTTGTGAATTAGTTTCAATCAGATTAATAGATCTCTAGATTCACAAATATGGCACAGTGTGAAATATAGTTAAGATCCAAACATGAAAAATTATTGGAACTGCCAAGTGGAATTTGTGGTACAGACTTCTTAATAGGCAAATAAAGATACATGTCGGTATTAAATTTTGAATCTAAATATCCAGTATTTAGACAACTATCAAATGCAACAAGATAATAAAATGTGCAAGCTTTGTTGTGCAAACAAAAAAAGAAAAGCAAGAAAGATAGGGGAAAAAAAAAGTGCTTCCATTGAAAGAAAGCCACAACTTAGATAAAACCACAAAGATTGCATATATGAGACCCTTTGACCCTCTGACATCCATACTGGCACTTAAAAGTATGAATATGCAGAATGTCTCCAAGGACACAATTGCTTTCGGTGGCATCTCCCCAATGATATCCCACATCTCCCAATGCCCTTGCCTTAGCATTTTTTGAATCACCTTAGACTAATAAAGGTATCACCTTGAAATATGTTTAGAACTTAGGCATTCAAGGACTCCCACATCTATCCCATAGGATCTCTTAAAATCAACTGTAGCACAGAGTCACTGCACACCACCACCATCCCAATCAAAGGAAAAAAAGGTACAAAAGAAAAGAAGGCAGCTAGGAAATTTCCAATGAGTACCATTTGGCCTTAACTTCCCTATCTCCAATCTTATCAATAACCAACATGAAACATGGGTACCAATAGCCATGCACCATTGATTCATGTTACAATTTCTGGGTCTGTAAGTTTTCAAAGTATAAAATAAAAACACAATTTATGGGTCTGCTAGGTCTCAAAGCATGAAAATAAAGGCAGATACAAAGAAATGAGGTTGAACACAGTTTGTGGGTCTGTTAGTCGTCAAAGTATGAAATAAAAACACCTAAGAACTCAGAATTCCGTAAGAAATGTATAGCTCTAATTATATTTTTCATTCTTAAGAAAATGGAAATAATGTCTGCCATGTTTACATATATAACTTTGTTGCCTAATTAGCAAGCTACTCATGTACATTGCATAAATTTATATATCAAGAAAACTGATACAACTTTCTTACCTTATGCAAGACTTCAACACACCAACCACGAACCTGCCTCTGAGCCCAAAGATGGAGATGTTCCCTCTTTCTCCTCAACTTAAATCTGAAAGATCACAAATCAGATAGATTAAAATAACAAACAAAAGCATCAAAATCCAAATTGTATCAGTTTGGATTAAAATAACAAAACCAGTAATTTGATGTTAAACTCCGAAAATACTATATTGCTGAAAACCCAAAATCCAAACTTTCACAAACAAAAGCATAAGAAAATTTAACAAAAAGGAAGAGACAGAGAGACAACAAAAGATGAAATCATGTTTCAGCCCTATATCGCTGAAGCCCCTATAAACACCCCAACCCGACTTAAACAAAAAAACCCTAAAATCATGATTTCATCTGAATACAAAACAAATGAGAACTAAAACCCTATTCAACTGAACTAAAAATAAATACTACAAAGCCCTATTTTAAACAACAAATCATCCAAAACATCGAAAAAGGAACAAAAATCAAATCCAATGGTGAAATGATTGAACTATTAAAAAGTTTATTGCTTTTGTCTTTTAATAAGCTTTTGTGGAGGGGAGCTAAAAACATTTAAAAGAAAATAGTGAAATTATTATTATTACAAACTGATATAGAAATGTACAATGCAAAATTATCACTTAAAAGAGACAAAAGCGTTCCATAAGGGGGGTAATTGAAACCTATATCTTTATATGAGAAATGCAATGGAATTAAATCACAAATAGACACCAACCTGCAATTAATTTAACATACCATCAGTCACATAATTGACAATTTGACATGGGTGGCTGGTGGATGGATTGGTTAGCCTTCAACCTCCATCTCCAACACAAACCAACCTAATGCATCCATTGGCTACCCCTAATGGCAATGCATAGATCCAACTAAATTAAATCATAAATTACAAAGGTAGTGGGAATAAAGAGAACTAGGAAATATCAAAGAAAATAAAAGCCAAATATAAATGCCAAGAAATAAAAATACCTTGCAAAAACACAAATCAAATAAGCAACAAACAATTAAATAAAATACCCTACAAAACACAAATCAAATAACCAAACAAGCAAGAAACAATTTAATAAACCGGAATCAAATAAGCAACAAATAATTAAATAGACAACAAATTAAGGGAAAACATGAABYATACAGAAAKAAGAAGCCMTTTYTRAAGCATAGACCTAATCATGATCCATGGAGTTAACTTGAGGAACAGAAACCCCAACATGTTAAATATGTAGAAATTGCATAAACAAGGGTTAAAGCAATGACATGTGAAATAAATATACAATAGCAAAATTTCTTAAATTTCCAAACGTTCCAAAATACAAAAAAATAGAGGTGAACCAAACGAAAATAGTGGTCAAAAAACCTTTTCCTGTACCTGTTTAGTAATGGATCAAAACGAATAAAACCAAGGAACATAGATGTACCATGTAGGAACCCTAGGAAAAAACTAAACAACTGCCAAATCGGAGTACAAACTACAAAAGAAAAGTTGAAACACCAACCGAAACCAGCAACAACTCTACAATAAGCGTAGCCTGCAGTACAAACCAAAAGAGACACTTTAAAAAAATGGAAAACAAATTAAATCAACAAACAAAAATGCGAATGAGATTTTTTTGGTAGAACAATGGAAATTAAATCAGAAATTATAAAGATAGTGGAAATTAAATCAGAAATTATAAAGATAGTGGAAATTAAATCAGAAGTTACCAAAGACAGTTGTTAGCAAGAAGGTCATCGTCGGGCACTAGTGCTAGTACAAGAAACAAAACCCAAAACCAGCTACAAAACCAAAAAATTCAAGTCTGGAAAATTTGAAAAAAAAAACATGAAAAGGAAAATTTTCAAAAGAACGTAATCGGATTGAGAAAACAAATAGTAATACTAAGAACCCAAATGCAACAAATTTTGCGAGAAAATCCAACCAAACCCTTACAATACAAAAGCAAATAGTATTACTATCCATTACAATGGAAATCAACCTTTCCACCTCTAGAATAGAGGAAATAATGTCAGCAAAAACCCCTGCAATTGGAAAACAAAGAGAACCAGCAAGATTAAGGGAAAAGCCAAAGAAACCCCTACAATCAAAAAACAAACAGTAATACTCTTCATGGCACCATAAACCCAAATCCTCAAAACAAAAATAGAGAAAATCATGAACACAAAATAAAATAAAATAAAAAACCAGACCTACCAGATTCAAAGTAGCGACAAATCCATTCGCAGTCCTTCACTTTATCAACTGAGCTAAAATCAGGGAAAAAGAGGGTTTCATTTAGAACAAAAAAATAAGAAACCCGAACTGCTAGACTTAGGGTTTCTTCAACGGAGAAAGCTGCTCAAGCATGCAAATAAGAAACCATAGAAAAATAAAATAAAATAAAAAACAGACCTACCAGATTCAAAGTAACGACAAACCCATTCGCAGTCCTTCACTTTATCAACTGAGCTAAAATCAGGGGAAAGGAGGGTTTCATTTATAACAAAAAATAAGAAACCAGAACTGCTAGACTTAGGGTTTCTTCAACGGAGAAGGCTGCTCAAGCAGGAAAATAAGAAACCATAGAAAAAAGCTGGGAAAGATAGAGGATGAGAGTGAGGGAAGTGATGAAACAAGAAGAGAGGTAGAGTGGGAAGAGGAAGCTAAGAAAGAGAGAGAGGGGGCAGTGGGAAGATAGGCAGGGAAGAGAGCAGAGAAAAGTGGAGAACGTGAAAAAATAAGAAACCCGAACTGCTAGATTTTCTTCTTCCTAGACCTATACTTAGGGTTTCTTCAACAGAGAAGGCTGCTCAAGCATGCAAATAAGAAACCACAAAAAAAAAGCTAGGAAAGATAGAGGAGGAGAGTGAGAGAAGTGATGAAACAGGAAGAGAGGTAGAGTGGGAAGAGGAAGCGGAGAAAGAGAGAGAGGGGGTAGTGGGAAGATAGACAGGGAAGAGAGAGGAGAAAAGTGGAACACGTGTTATTCATGCAATGCGAGCTACAGTGCATGTTTACATGCGATATACTCACATGGTTGGGTTGCTCTCTCGTGCGATCATTGATCTACTCGCACGGGTATTTAGCAGCTTGCAACTACAAGATGTTAGAGGCCCCAAGCTGATTTTTCAATAAGTACCGAGTAGGGGAGTTCGAAAGGCAAGTGAACTAAGATAGCAAGAGAGCTAGAATGTTAGAGAATAGGAGTTTTACCTTATAGGGTGTGCCTTTAAATACCTATTGGGGAGTATTGTTGTGCTCTTTGCATGGGGTTGTGTCCCAAGGTCATCCTCAACCAACGTTCACTTCTGGATATTTGCATTAGATGCAGGATGAGGGGTGTGATGTCATATGATATTTTTGAAACTGTCTGCCCAATGAACTGTCCAAATCAATTAGTGATGTAAAAGATTAAACCCAAGAAGGTAGAGGTATGTTGTTTTATTTTTATAATTTTTTATTTTTCATACTTTAATCATTATCATGACAACATTTCGCGTAGATCTGTTCATGGGCCGGGCTCGGATTTGGCTTTTGCCAAATTTTGAATGGGCCTGGCCCGAAGCCCAAGCCCGATACAGTGTAAGTTAGGCCCGAAGCCTAGCCTATGAGCAAGTCTACTCCCACGTGCAATCATGTACCCACTTACTAATATTGTTTGATTTGGAAAACCAAATCTTAATAAATTATGGCCTTATTTTTATGAAAAAGTTGAGAGAATAAAAGAGAATTAAAGATAGGAGTGAAGGAGAAGAATAAAACATATATTGAGCTAATTTAGGAGAGAAGTTAGGTTGTTATAGAAAGTGAGATACCTGAATTGTGGGGGGAGAGAGAGAATCCAATGGGAAGAGAGAGGAATGAAGAAAGAGGGAGCTGAAATGGCAAATTGGGAGTGGTGGGAAGGGGTTGGAGAGAGAGGCAAGAAGAATGAAGGGTTGGGATAATAAAGCAAGGAAAAACAAAGTGACAAGGACCATTGCATGTGAGAATTTTTTCTTCATATTAATTACTTGAATTTTAGATATATCATAGTTAAGATAGAAATTGAAAATTAACGAAAGTAACAATATGATTAAAAATAAACTCAAATATTTATTATTCAATTATGACATCATGGATAGCTTTGCTTTTGGATTAGTTTTAAATTAAAGAAAATTATAGTCGGAGTTGGCTGTACATTTAAAATTAGGCTACAAGTTGGTCAATAAACCAATAAAACTCTGACAACCGGCTCTACATTTCAAATTATAAAAATGCTTGCCATGCCATCGGAGGCTTATGTGGCTATTGCCAACATGGGACTCTTAATTAGACCTGTTCATGGGCTGAGTAGCCTGACGGGCCAACTCGGCCCGGCCCGATCTAAGTCGGGCTTGGACAAGATTTCAGGCCCACAGGCTCAGACCTAAAATATTGGGCCCGACTTTATTTTGGGCCAGGCTCGGGCTTTCTCAAAAAAGCTCGGTCTGAGCCCAAACTTGGCTTAATAATGTATTATATAATAAAAATATATTTTATATAATAAAAAACATATATAATACTTTTTTCTTCTATTTTTTCAAGTAATAATGAGATATTTACACAAACTGGAGAACGATAGAGATTTAGGGAAAATGAGATATTAAACGAGAGGGAGAGTGAGGGAGAAGAATGAGAACGATTTAGGGAGAACAATAGAGAGAGAGAGAGAGGGAGGGGTTTTTGATTTGGTTATAGACCGAAGATGAAAGAGTGGGAAAGACAAAGGAAGCAAGATATCAAGAAATGACTGTGAGAGTGAGAGAGAAGAAAGGGAGATCGAGAGACAAAGGGAGTGGGAGAGAAACTGAAAACCTATTTTTGGTATAGGTTTTTTACTATGTCTAACATGGACTAAGAGTCTCATGTTGGCAACAGCCACAAAAGCCTTTGATAACATGGCGGGGGCTTTTATAATTTGAAATGTAGAGCTAGTTGTCAAAGTTTTGTTGGTTTCTGGACCAACCTACATCATAATTTTAAATGTACAACTGACATTGACTATAATTTTCTCTTTAAATTATATATTTCATTTACATTATATAAAATATTTTTTATTTATTACACTTAACTTTTGTTTGTCTATGGTATCATTTGGCTCAAACCACTAACCCACCATCTAAAAATAAAAATTATTTGACTTCTAAGTTGACATTAAATTTTGTATTACATTTCCATCATTGATAAAATTATTTATTATGTATAAAACTTATTTTTGTTCAATATAATGAATGCACAATATTAGAGATGTGCCCAATATTTTATTTTTTATAAATATATAACATTAGATATGTGCCCAAAATTTTCTCTATCCTTTTTTATTATTATTTTTGTGATTCTTTGTATTTTCTATTATTAAAAATTTTATTATCTGACTATATCATTTCATTCCTAGGTAGATTTTGAATTTGGCATTCCATTTTCATCGTTAATAAAAATATTTCTTACATTTCATAGTTATTTATTTTATTTTTTTATTTAATTATGACATTATTTATTAATCCATTTAACCCCCAAATGGTTGAATTGCTTACCCACCATCGAGAGGGAAGAAAATGGTTTTGTTTTCAAAATATTTATTTTTATACTATTAAAATTAATATTGTGGATTTAATTACAATAATTTAATGATGAGAAAAATATATCTTAAATATAGGATTTAATGAGAGAGAATAGGAAAATATTTTTATTTCCAATTGATTTTAAAATTTACATTCTACTGTTTAATGTGTATGTAAAAATGTTCCCAAATTTTTTAATTTCTATTTTTTTATTTTATTATTTAATCGTGGCAATATGAATTAACCCATTTGACCCACAATGATTTAATTTCTTACCACCACCTAGATGAAAACACTAATTTTTGCTATGTAGATTTTAAAAGTATAAGTTTTTTTGTTATTTGAATTATTAATTTATTAAGTATTGATTTAACTAATAGAACTTAATGATGAGAAGAAACAAAAAATGACTTAAATAAATGATTCAATGAACATGAATGCAAGTTAATAACTTAAATGTTGGATTTAATGAGAGAATTGAATGCACTGAATATCTTTAAATTACCTCTTTTCAACTTAGCTAATATCAAGAACCGATTACCCTATTTGCTCTCATTTTTTTATCAATAAATTTAAATATAGAGGGGGTAAATTTTGTCTTTAGAAAATTGTAGAAATATTCTTGAGGCCATTTGTACTTTTTAAGATAATGTATATATATATAGAGAGAGAGAGAGAGAGAGAGAGATAGATAGATAGATAGAGAGAGAGAGAGAGAGAGATTGTATATTATAAAATTTAATTTGTGAGTTGTGACTTACCCGGTTACACCCAAATTCCAACCCGTCCAAGCTTACATTTCGGGCTCATGGTCTAGGTTGGGGCCATGTTCAGGCTATTGCCTTTAACATAGTTGCTAAGCTCGACCTGGGCCATGATCAGGGAGAGTTAATTTAAAAAAAAAAAAAACTAAATAAAAAGGGCAAAATGGGCACATAAGATAAACACGTAAGGGTAATTTGGGATTCTAGAAATATTAAAAGGAATATTTAATGATGTTAACCGATAAATGCCAACGGTGGGACAAAGTAATGGAATTTGTAAATTTAGAGGATCTTTGTCGCAAAACAAAATATTGGGGGTGGTAAGTAAGTGCCACTACCCCCTTGGTACAAGGTGGCTACATGTATTTATCCAAATCCTTGGAGGACTTGTCTCATGTTAATGTATATATAGGTGTCAACGGTATTCAAAAATTTGATTTTGAATTCGAGATCTGATATAATCGAATCGAATTCGAATAATTAAATATTTAATCGGTTGAATTTAGATATCCTATTCATATTAAATAATTAATCGGATTCGAAATCAGATATGACCTTATTCAATTCAATAAATATCCGAATTTGATCGATTATTTAATTCTTATATATAATATATGTGATGGAGGGTGATTTGGCCCGACCTCGCAGCACGGGTACACGTGGGCGTGACCTTGCTCAAGCAATGACTCAGCGTGACAGCACAACTGACATGACCACAATTCGAAGGGAAGGTCCCACCGAGTTCAGCTCGGCAACTGGGCGGATAAGCTACTCGCCGGAAGCCGCCTTACCTGCACCTCCTCCCCGGGGTTAAGGCACTTCGGGGCGCCCCGAGTTCAGGGCATCCTGACCTCTCTTGAGGCCCGAGCTCCTCCCAATGGACCTCGGGCCACTCCTAGACAGGAACGCGTTGATCCATCTCTGGACACCCCGAGGCATAGACACCTCGGGTCAGCCAGCTCGGCATAACTTGCTACAGGCAGCTCGTCACTCAAGAGACAACCCGTGCAAGGCAATTCGCGGAAGGGTAGTTCGGTATACCACAGGAAGGTCTCCTGCCCGACCACCGTACCCGACAAATTTGGGGACAGCAGCCATGTCTCCTGTCAGATAGCGTCGCGCCTATCATCTTTAGAAGGTGTCTCGCACCTGACAGGCACGTACCTTGCAACGACGGCCCCGCGCGTGCCACCTCAGCCTTGCCTGTAACGCCTGTGGCAGACTGACAGTGGCGGTTATACTTGCCCTGTCAGAAGCCAGAGGGCCTGAAGCAACGAGATTTTGTTATAAGAAGTTGATTCTCAAGGAACAAGGTATTTTCGAACCACCTGCGCAATCTGCACTCTTAGCCTTCGTTTTCCTTTTGCTTCTTGTACAAAATACTGACTTAATCATCGGAGTGTTCCTACCGGGCAAATACCCCCGGGAGTTATTCTTCTTTCTTCTCGTCTCAGGTACCTCTCAAGAGCCACACGAGTGCCAGCTAGGAGTGACCGGATCGCGCTACATCAATATGAAATCTTTAAATGTTTTATATAATATATAATAATTAAATTATATAAATAATTAATATATTTATATACTTTATATAAATAAAAATATTTATTAATTACCCAAAATAATTAATTAGTCGTATTTAAATCAAATATTTAAATATTTAATCGGATTTGAATTTGAATATTAATTTTCAATATCCGTTGAATATCGAATTGTCAAAATTTTCTAATCGGATTCGATTTTGGATATCCGATTCAAATTCGATCCGTTTACACCCTTGCATATTTTTGCTTTGAATATCAATAAAAGATATTATTTTTATAAAGTAACTAAAATAAGGTATTTTTTTTAAATATAAGAAAGGGCAATGACACTCTTCATTGTCTTCATTCTTTGCTCTCTTGCACGAAACCAGCAGAGCCCTCAGAGTTGACGATCCCGGCCGGAAGATATCTTGGCTGGAGCTGTGGGTTTTATCAGGGATTGCGAGGAGGGGGGTGGACCTGACCCCCTCTACAAATGCAAGGTCCGTCCGCCAGTCCGCCGTGCTGTGCATAACCGACAGCTGTGACTCGTAAGACTCTAAACAATAAAAAGAAAACGAATAAAATAAAAAATAAACGGAGGTAAGGACTGACTGAGGAATGGGGAGATGTCATCATGTCATGTCTTCCTGGCAATGCTTTCAGACTTTAGTTCAGCTGCGTCTGTTTAGCAATTAGGCATCTGCCAGCACCACCCACCAAACGCTCCCAACACTCTCCATGGCCCAAAATGATCTCCGACGGTGTGGTCGGTTCCGCTGATGAGGGTGGTGACAGTAGCGGCGACGCATACGAGTAAGAGGAGGCGGAGGAAGGGGAGAAGGAGAGTTGAAACCGGCATATTCGCTTCTCTCTTACCTTTTTGGGAAAACGGAGTCTACCAACCTTCTTCAATTGTAGGATTCTAGCAGATAAGAGAGTCTGAATACAGACGCAGAGGAAGAGACATACAGGAAGACGATGAACAGTATCGTTGTCCGCCCTTGCCCTTATCTGCTAGAACCCTCAATAGTCCCCACTATAAACCACGGTCACGATTCATCATCCCTGTACGATGGGGTTAGAAAATTCTGACCTGAATTGATCGGTCATTCTCCCTAAGATAAATGAAAATTTTATCAAATTCAAAATTTATCAATAATTATCATAAATTGTGGTTATTTTAGTGAAATTTACTGTTGATTACATTTATAGTTAATTTGCAGGATTTTAGTTCATAGTTAATTAAAATGTGTTGTTAATTAACAATGAATTAAATTACTCAACGATTAACCTACGACCCAATTCACTGATCAAACTTGGCAAACATTGGCAAACATGAGACCCATGCAATACATGAGCCCTATCAAAGCGAAATTGAAGAAAATAATCTGTTCTCGAGTTGGATGAACCAATTCAAATCCAATCCAACCATTATTTTATTAATGCGTAACATTATCAACCTTTAATTGGCGTTTAATTTAATTAAAATAGATAAAACTAATAGATTTGTATAATCATCTGAAGTTACTTTTCAAAGTCATATAGAAAATTCCAAAATTTGTCAAGAATAGCCATTAATGAATATAGCTTTTTTTTGTCAAAATTAACTATTTATATATATTAATTAATTAATTATTAGTTGCGGTTCAATACCCTGCTTCATGCTTTATGATAATAGCACGGTTCTTTCTTCAACCTTCTGTCACTGTTGCATCTACACCCCTCTATTATATTGAGATGGTGAAAGTGGAAAGTTTACCAAAATATCCAATGTTATCATTTGAATGGTAACTTGACTTCTAAATTCACTATTCCCTATTACATTGATTATAAAGTTCATAAAATTTGTGTGTGTTTCTTTTCTTTTCTTTTTTTTTACAATTGTTATATATTTTATTGAAATTTATATATGATAATATTTAACTCTATTTAGATTCGAGCTGGGCTTATTTGAGAAAGCCCGAAGCTGAGCATGTCAGCTTGAAATTTTGTCCAAGCCTAATAAAAAATAGATCGGCCAGGCCAACACATTAGATTGCTCGACCAATGAGCAGGTATATTGCCGCCCAAGTTCCACAAACATATATTTTCTTGACAAATAGAAACTCGTTAAGGCTGCATTTGTTTTAGGTGTAAATTTAGTTTTACACCGATGGGGAATGTGAACCGGTTTAGTTGTCGATAGAAATTGGGACCAGTAGATTTTGAAAATTTACACCGACCATGTTTGGTTGTCAAGGTGTAAATTCTATGAAAATTTACACAGAGGAGGAGGGAAGCAGAGGAAGAAAAAGGAGGAGGAGAAGAGAGAAAGAGAGACAAATGGTGAGAGAAAGGTCAAAGGTGGGTTTAGATTGCAATGGCGGTGACGAAACAGAGAAAGAAAAAAGGGGGGAAGAAGAAGGAGAGAGAGAGAGAGAGAGAGAGACGGTGTTGCTGCTGCCCTGTGTTCAAATATTGTAGTAGCGGTGACGGAACAGAGAGAAAAAAAAGGGGGGGAGAAGAAGAAGAAGAAGAAGAAGGGGGAGAGAGAGAGAGATCGCCGATGCTGGTGCTGCATTGGGTTCAGATCTTTTGTTGCAACTGGTTGCAACGGCGACGATGGAACAGAGAAAGAAAAAATGGGGGAAGAAGAAGAAGAAGAAGAAGAAGAGAGAGAGAGAGAGAGAGAGAGAGAGAGAGAGACGGTGTTGTTGCTGCCTTGGGTTCAAATATTGTAGCAGCGGTGACGGAACAGAGAAAGAAAAAAAAAAGGGAAGAAGAAGAAGAAGGGGGGGGAGAGAGAGAGAGAGATCGCGCGGTGCTGGTGCCGCCTTGGGTTTAGATCTTTTGTTGCAACTGGTTGCAACGACGACGATGGAATAGAGAAAGAAAAACGGGGGGAAGAAGAAGAAGAAGAAGAAGAAGAAGAGAGAGAGAGAGAGAGAGAGAGAGAGAGAGAGAGAGGCTGTTGCTATCGCTGCCGCCTTGGGTTCAGATCTACTAAGAGAGAAGGAGAAGAGAGATAGATAGATGAATAAAGAGACTCTAGTTTTACACCGATAATTTCGATGTATATTTTACATCGATTATCGGTGTAAAAAATTAAAAAATCAATTTTACACCAGTTTAAAATTATACTATTTCCAAACTTGTGTAAAATCAGACGAGGTATAAAATTTACCCCATATTTTCCACCCCAAACAAACGTGGCCTAAGTACAACATCTAGTCATCTACCAATACATATTTACTCGTAGCTCTAAAGTGTCCGTTAAAATATTTGATGCCTTATCTCATTCAAAAAGTGTATTTGTGCATTAACTCTAATTTACGGCCAATTGATGGTGGGTCAATGTAAGCCCGAATATCCTTTCTTCTTCACCCGGCATCACATATGGGTTAACCCGAATACATTTAGTTATTGTATTACCGGCTAGATCAATCACAAATAGTCGGCGGTGGTTTCCTACCAAACATTGGCCATCTTATCAAATCAAAATTGAATGTTTACTTCATTAGACCAACTCTTTTCCAAATTAAAGAGTAGCATTGTTTTAACAATCCCGCTTGGCACTGCTACTTCCAAATAAAACACAAACCCTTTTAAACCTCTAAAAACCATAGCTTTTCTTTGTAGAATAATGGGAATGAAGAAGATCAAATGGGCAAAAAGCGGGAGGTTCATGAGTAGGGGTGTCCATGGTTCGGTGGGCAGTTTTTGTAAATCGAATCGGTACTACCGCTTTTTCCATTTTCCCAAACCGAAACTGAACTAGTACCACCGGTTAATTGGTCCATTGTTTTCAGTTTTTGACCGGTTCAATTATTCGGTTATTTGGTTTTTTATATTTATAATATATATAAATATATGTATAATATAATATAATATTATAAATAATAAATGATATATAATAAAATATAAGTATTATAAAAATATACAATATATTTATAAATAGATTATTATATATATAATATATGTATATTTATATATATAATGAATATATATTTACATATAATATATAGAAAATATGTGACATATACTAAAAATATATATAAAATATACATATAAATATATATACCGATCAGTTCGATTAACTGCCGTTTTTTTGTAGGTTAACCGAAAATCAAACCGATCCTTCGATTTTTCAAAAATACTAAACTGATCAATTTAATTAACTACATTTTCCGATTTGATTTGATTTTTCGGTTTTTAATGGACACCCCTATTCGTGAGTCTTTGTAGTGTTCTAAATTTTTAATGTGTTTAAGGGAAGAAAAAAAAAAAAGAAGTCCATCACGTTTAAACTATGAATGAATAAAGAGAGCTTATGCTTTGAATATAATCTAGGAGAGAGAGAGAGGAAGAGGGGGGAAGGGATTGGTGCCTACAATCAAGGGGATTAGATTTCTTAGGGAAGAGGTTGTTTTCTAATTCACCACGTTTGTGAGATTTAACGGAACAGAGAGAAGGGGGGTATATAGGATTGGTATAAGGGGTTAAGAACTTTGGCTGTTGGAGCCCAACAGCTTTGGTTTTAGTAAAAATAAATTAAGACATAATTACTAATTTACCCTTCTCAGGGTAACGTGTACCATCTTGCAAAATATATATAATATAGATTCTCTCTCGCTCTCGATTCAGACAACATGATAATTCGACTGCAGATTCCGACCTCAACGCCCCATTGGCATTCATCACGGCACCCTTCGCCAAGAATCCGCCGGAAGAATCGTTTTTCTAATCCTAACCCTAACCCTAACCTTGACCCTAACAAACATTATTCCCAAGTCCTCCACGGCTTCACTCCTCTCAAGACCCGGACCATCTTCTCTGCACCACTCCCCAACAACCCAGCTTCCGACTCCGGCCTCCGCTTCCGACAGAAGCTTCTCTACCTCGAAAGCCTCAATGTGGACTCCACCAAAGCACTCGACAAGAACCCTGATCTCCGCTCCGCCCCTGTCGAATCCATCAAGTCCGTCGAGAAGTGCCTCTACTCCATGGGCATCGAACGCTCCGACATCGGAAGGATCTTCGGCATGCACCCGCAGCTCCTCACCTGCGATCCCTACACTGATCTATACCCCATATTCGACTTCCTCCTTAACGAAGTTGACATTCCTTTCTCTGACATCCGCAAGTCCATCGTTCGGTGTCCCCGGTTGTTAATTTGCAGCGTGCGCGATCAATTGAAGCCAACGCTCTACTTTCTTCGGAGGTTGGGATTCGTGGGGCCGCATGCCATCACGTGCCAGACGACTCTTCTTCTGGTGTCGAGCGTCGAGGGCACGCTCATACCCAAGCTCGATTATCTTCAAAGTTTGGGGTTTTCATATAAGGAGACGGTCAAGATGGTCTTGAGATCGCCTGGGCTACTGACATTCAGCATTTCCAATAACTTTCGGCCCAAGGTGGAGTATTTCTTGAATGAGATGAAGGGGGATTTGGCTGAGTTGAAGAGGTTCCCTCAGTATTTCTCTTTTAGTTTGGAAGGGAAGATAAAGCCCCGACATAGACTTTTGGTCGAGCATGGCTTCTCACTCCCTCTGTCCCAAATGTTGAAAGTTAGTGATGGAGAATTCAGAGATTGGTTGGTTGAGATGCAGTTGCGCTCCGTTGATGAGAAATTGTCTTCGTAAGTTGTAAGCGTCCTTGTTTCTGTTGTATAACAATTCAATAAGAAACAAATAAATCAAATGGCAAGAAGACATCCCTTTCTTACACGACAATTTGTTAAGTGATCTCATGAATCCACTACTTTTATTTCAAAAAGTATTTCTGACCTGTAATGGGTTTTGTATGTTATGAATAGTCTTTGTGTATATGTAATGCAGCTTTGATATCTATTTGAAGAGATCTCTATATAATTTATTTTCCTTGCAAGGAAGTTTGAGAAAATAAAAGGTGTAAAATGCCTATCTTCAATTGTGAATGGCAAATGGCTTTGTAGCATTATATGCAGAGTCTACTCGGAATTCTTTATGATTGATTCCCACAGAAAAACTGATTGGTTTGCCCCCCCAATATAACCTATCTCACTAAAGCAAACCCAAGACATTGTGTTGAGATGGGAAAACCTGCAATTGGATTTTGCAACCTTCAATTGCAGTGAATAAAGGAAACTAACATTTGTTGATGTTAAGGGTTTAAAGCTTTATAACCAACATTTCTCTTGTTGTGCACTGTACTTCCTGAAACCAGTTCTGTTTCATTCTCCATTTGATTAACAGAAAGTCTGAAACTGGACATCTGGTGATTACTTGGGCCGTAGATTACTTTCATGCAATGGGGAATATACCTTCCAAAACCCTAAGAAACATTCCTTTCACATCAAGATGTTGAAAATGTGCTTGCAACCAAATGTTTCCCTGAATTTCCTAATGCTCTGGTTTCCTTATTTCTAAGCATGATACAAGTTTCAGCAAATCATTCAGACATATTTGACCACTAAACACAATCATGACCTCATTATGGCATGAAAAGTCTTGTTCCTTTCGAAGTTGATTTTGTAGCAGGAACAATTTTTCCTTGATGGTCTATTTATTTTATATGTTTTAGTAAATTTGCTTGCCACAAATGCTTTGTAGTTTGTACCTTGATGGTCCCATTTACTTTGCACCACATACAAATGTACAATCTGTGCCAAGTTTACACTGTGATGATGGTGGAGCATGCCCAAGTTATTTTTTTTTCTTGAGGACTTCCATTTCCAATAATATGGATTTCTAATTGTTATGGTTTAACAAATAATAACAAAAAAAAAGAGAAAATCTCATGATTTAACAAAGAAAATATTGGATCACCTGAAATAAGTTATAGTTGCATTAAAAAAAAGGAAAGAAAAGTGAATTACCAAAAAGATGTAGGATTAAGTTAGCAAATTCCTTAAGGGAAATTATGAAAATTTTGGAATGCTTTAGTTGTTCATGAGGGTTACAGTACATTTTGGAAGACTAACTTATTGAACAATGTTTGGGTGTTGAATTTGAAAGGGCTAATAGAACATTGGTGAATCAACATATTACAGGTTAATTATAGTGTGCTAGCTAAACAAGGGGTAAAAAGGGATCACTGTTTTTGGGCTCAGTTGTAAGAATGAAAAATCAATCTGATAATTGACATGTTAATTATAGTGGGGTAGCCAAGGTAGCCAAGGCTACTCGTAACCTGTAATTTCTGTAATCCTCTTTATACCAACGGGATTTCCTTTCATTGATCAAAGGAAAAAAAAACATTATTACAGAATCGCTCTGCTTCTACCATGTATCAAATAGTAACCTGCATTGTTGTTAAAAGTCCCAGCCAAGCCTAGGGATTTGACTGACTAGACACCTAAATGCTTATTGGTTTTAAATTTTTAATCTAACAAGGAACTCATGGCATGTAAGATATATCTTCAATGATTATATTTTATTTTATTTTATTTTTTTTTGATAAATGATTATATTTTATTTTATTTTTGGAAAAGAAATTAAAAGTAATCATATATTGGATTGATTTAACAATATGGGTCTGTCATTCACTGTCTGATTAGTTTGGATCAATTTATACCAGATATCAAGAGTAGATCAAAACAGCAGAGTAAGTCTAGAGGCCTTTAAGGAAAAAGGTCCTGGTGCTTAAGAGATTTTAAATCATTCTATAACATCATAAAGAAAGAAAATTCTTAGAACTGAGAACAATGGCACTTCTTGGTATGCTATTGAGAGTGCTATGGAAGTGGTGAAGTTTCTTGATGTGTGTGCTTTGACAATAGGGAGTCTGGAGAGTTGAAGGGTCTAGAAGAGCTAGGGGTAGGCCAAAAAGGACATGTTTGGTGTACTGGGAGATGATTTGAGGGTCTATAGCTTAACAATGGATACGGAACTGGAAATTATGGCTGAACAGAATTTATGTAGTGGACCTCATATGGTTGGGACAAGACCGAGTTGAATTGAGTTAAGTCTGGGAATTGTTTGAATATATTTTTATCACCAGTTGCTTGTTTGTATAGATTTATTTTTCTTTGAAAAGTAAGATACTATTTTAATAATTTTTTTGAGAAAATTTTTTCTTCTTTTTTAATTCCTATTTTAATAATCAAAAGAGAGCAGACTGTATGACTTTTAAATTTCTAAAAGTCAGAATCTAAGCTAGGATCAAAATATTGATACGATATGTCCCATATCAGGCATATCGTATCCATATCCAAAGGGTCTGATTCACTTTGATACACTGAAATACACAGGCCTTGGAGGTTTTGATGATAGAACATATCCTTCTTAGCCTGTTCGTGAAATTATCAGGTCGATAATATGAAAAAAAAAGAGAGTATCAGTCAATTGATATGCACAGATACTCGAGGTGTTGGTATCATGCGTATCAATATTTTGATCCTTGAATCTAAGTGAAAGTTGAGAGAAACCAATAAAAAAAGAGACATGGAGGATTTCAAAAGCCTGGGTTCCAAACTTCCAATGGTGCATGCCTGCAGGACACGGACAGGGGAAGTGGAATCTGATGCATATCCAAGAGTCTGACTTGTCGACATGAGAAAACATGACTTGCAAACACATTTATGGAAAAGTATATACTATTAAAATAGTTGATGTTTTTTCATAGGCATGAATATGAGCATGCCCCCTCCTTGACTTAGCTCCAGAACAATGAGCAAGGACAAATCATTATAGAAAACTGAAAGGTTGTATTACTGTATGAGGAATGAACCTCTTTCTGGATGAGAGTATGGTTGGAAAGAAATGCTCATATATTTGAAAACAAAACATGCACAGAGGAGGTTATAGGAGTCGAATACAAAGCCGGATGATTTATAGGTTGTTATTAGGAAAAATTGTCCTACAGTTGTTCTGCTATAGGAGACAAAACTAGAATCTTTTAATCTGGGTCTGAAGGAGGAAATTTGGGGAAGGAATAGTTGGGAGTGGCTGGAGCTAAGTGCAGTGGGTTTGTCAGGGGGTTTGCTCAGTTTTTGGGACCCGGGGGTTTTCAAAAAGGTGGGTGAGAAGGTGGGAAAGTTCTCAATCTCGATTTGTCTGAAAGAGGTGAATGGGGAGTGGTGCTGGGGAATAACAAATGTCTATGGCCCAAATACAGAGGGAGAAAGAGCTGAGTTTGGGAAGAGTTGGAGGAGCTGAGGGGTCTGTGTGGTGGTCCTTGGGTGGTAGGAGGTGATTTTAATGTGGTAAGGAGGAGCGAAATGAAAGGAGGGAGGGAGGGAAGGATTTTGACGGGAATGAGGAAGTTTGGAGAATTTATTGAAGGAAATGGACTTATCGACCCACCTTTAAGTGGTGGGAAATTCACTTGGTCGAATGGTCAATTCCCAGCTATCCTTAGAAGGCTGGACAGGTTCTTATTTTCAGGGGATTGAGTGGAGTACATGGGGGAAGTGGTTCAAGAAGTATTGTCTCTAAGAATGTCAGACCACAAACCAATAATGTTAAGAAAGTTCATTGCTGTAAATGAATGAGACCTTTCAGATTTGAAAATGTCTGGTTGCAAGGTC